TCACTGCAGTAGCGTGCTGAAAATAAAAATTTGTAAAGTGTGCTGAATTCCCCAATTTACCTGTCTTTTAGAGCAAGGTTAACAGAATGCACAGACCAGGTTTCTGTAGTTAATAAGGATTACTATTTATAAATTAATAGACTTTAACCACAGGTAAACAATGATGAACTATCGACCAATAACTCTACTTGCTCAAACTTTAATTCCTTTGTGAAACTTACCCCCAACATACACATATAGGTACAGACTAGAAAGAAAACATGGCAGAGGGAAAAACAGGGAAACCAGTTTACTAGTATCTATCCACACAGTTCATTGAGATGATCCTTCTGGCTGGTCAGGACATGCTGCTCCTTGATTCTACTCCTCTCAATATTTGCACTTGCTTGCTGAAGGTACTTGGTGGCTCGTTAACATTTATAAAGTTGCTGGCTTACTGGTTGACAGCCACAGGTTACACATTGCTAAGGTGTAGTTTGCGGGGGAGGAGGGTGGTGAGACTGATTTTCTTCAGGCTTAAGGTGTTTGTTACTGCACAGTAAAGAGAAAGCTCCTGCCCTTGCACAGATTCAATGGCTTCCTCTCAAACATTCAAACCCCAAAGCTGTTCGGCTATTCAGGAGTCAATCTATTAACAGTTGTCAAGCAGGAACACTTTATTATTAAGAGAATTAGAATTAGAATTAGCTTTATTGTCACATGTACACAAACGAGTACAGTGAAAAGTGGACAAGTCACCGCTTAAGGCAAGTCACCTATATCAATTCCCTGCCTTCTAATAGTTAGCCGATCCTCTGTCCATGCTAATGCACTAAAAGGTAAAGATAAAGTCACCATATTATTACTAGACTATAGCGTTGGTCTCTCATTAGAGGAAGATGACTGGTGGTGGTTTAACCTGAGGATCACCATGCCTCAGGCGAAGGGAAAGATTGAGAAGGAGAATCTTTCATGGTAACCTCAGTGCAGGAACTGAACTCTCACTGTTGACATCATAAACCGGCCATCCAGCCATGTTAGCTAACCAATCCCATAATATTCTACACCCAACCAACATCCCCTGTATTGTTTTTCAACTGCTGTGCTAGCTTCCAAGGTAAGTGCACAGCACAGCTCTGGAAGCCTAAAGTGCACAACCAGAAGTCCCCCTCAGACCCATAGTCTCCCTACCAGGCACGCCATCACACAGGTTAGCCAAAGAACTACAAAGAAGAATCAGGCACCTAGTCAACAAGTCACCCCACTCTATCCACTCAGACCAAGAATTCCTCAACTCCATCAAAGACATAAAGATAGAAGATGAAGAGACCATGATATCGTTTGATATCACTGCCCTATTCACATCAATAGATATATCACTAGCAAGGGAAACAATGTCAACACTACTTGAACAAGAACACGACCCCAGTGAAACCATCTCCAAGGACAACATGCTCAAACTATTGGAACTATGCCTGACCACCCACTTCACCTTCAATGGCCAAACATACGAGCAAATCAACGGGACACCCATGGGATCACCTATCTCCGGATCATAGCAGAAGCAGTGATGCAAAGACTGGAAAGGACCGCCCTTCCGCAAATCCAACCTAAACTGTGGATACCCTATGTAGATGACACCTTTGTCATCATTAAACAGACCAAATTAGAAGAGACACACAAACTTATAAACAACACCCTCACCAGAATAAGATTCACCAGACAGGAGGAGAAGACGACATCATGGTAGAGCACAAGACAAACGGGGAACTGCAAACGAAAGTACACCAAAAAGCCCCACACACAGACCAGGTACTGAACTTCAATAGTAACCATCTCAGCACACACAAACGAACACTATTTAAAAGGGCAACGACACACTGCAGCAACATGGCACTACGCCAAGAGGAAGAAGAATACCTCTTCCAAGTGTTCAAGGATAATGGATATCCAAAGAACTGGGTCAGAAGATGCCTACACGAACAACATCAGAAAGATTCTACACGCCCTAACACACTCATCACACTACCCTACGTCAGGAACACGTCGGAACTCACCACAAGACTCCTACGACCGCTGGGCATCAGAGTGGCACACAAGCCCATGTCAACCCTACGACAACTGCTCACCCGAACTAAAGACCCACTCCCCGCCATGGACAGGACCAATGTCATCTACAAAATCCCCTGCAGAGACTGCGAGAAACACTACATCGGGCAAACAGGAAGGAAACTAACAACAAGGGTACATGAACATCAACTGGCTACAAAAAGACACGACCAATACTCACTCATCTCAATCCACATGGACAAGACAGACTTCGACTGGGACAACACCAAGATCCTGGGACAGGCTAGGCAGAGACAAGCATGAGAATTCCTGGAAGCATGGCACTTCACGAAGCATGCTATTAATAAACACATTGAACTCGACCTCATATACATTCCACTACGAAGGAAAACCAGAAGTCAGGCAATTCATCTCAACGGACCACAGAGTTTAAAAACGAGGCGGGAAAACACACCGATGCTTCATCGGAGGCTGCACTGAGGATGTTACAAGCATGGTAACGAAACGTCTGCAAAACAACAAACCAGCTTGGCGAGTCAACCAACCTCAACACCCACAACCCAAGCTACAGATCTACTCCAAAACCTTAGCAGAAGTCATTCACGAGATGCTGATTGACATGTACGGAGCTTTCCAACCATTCCTGTGCAGCTTGGAGAGAACATTGTCCCAAAAATCATTATTGTCTTATTAAATAGCCTTATGTGCAGTAATGTATCAAATGCCTTTTAGAAAAAAAGAGTTCCCATTCATCCATTTGGCTTGTTATCTCCCCGATGAACACTAATAAATTTATCAAGCAATATGTTCCCTTCATGAAACCATGCTGACTCTGCTTGATTATATTATGCATTGTTAAATGCTCTGCTATTGCATCCTGTATGATAGACTCCAACGTTTTCCCTGTAACAGATGTTAAGTTTACTGGCCTAGATAGATCCTGTTTCACATCTCCTTCCTTTTTTGAATAAAGATGTTACATTGGCAGTTTTCCAATCCTCTCAGCTTTTCCAAAAACTAAGGATTCTTGGAAGATTACTTCTGGAGCATCCACTACCTCAGTAGCTACTTCTTTAAAAATCCTCGTATGCAACCCATCAGGTCCAGAGAACGTAACAGCCTTTAGCCCCACTAGCTTCGCTAATGATAGTTTCCTCAAATGATCATTATGTTTGTTTACTCCCCCACCTTGGGCCCCTTGAATATTTGGTATTTTTGGAATGCTATTAGCGTTCTTTACCATGAAGACTGATGCAAAGTGCTTATACTTAATCAGGGTAGGTGATGGCCTAGTGGTATCATCGCTAGGCTACTAATCCAGAAAATCAGCTAATGTTTTGGGGACCTGGGTTCGAATCCCACCATGGCAGATGCTGGAGCTTGAATTCAATGAAAAAAAAAAATCTGGAATTAATAATCCACTGATCACCATGAAACTGTTGACTGTCAGAAAAGCCCATCTGGTTCACTAATGTCCTTCCTTCAGGGAAGAAAATCTGCCATCCTCACCTAGTCTGGTCTACACGTGACTCCAGACCCACAGCAATGTGGTTGACTCTCAACTGCTCTCTGAAATGGCCTAACAAGACATTCAGTTGTACCAACTGCTACAAAGTCTCTGCAGAGGTTCAAGAAGGCAACTCACCACCACCTTCTCAAAGGCAACTAGGGACAGGCAATAAATGCTGGCCAGCCAGCGATGCCCACAACCCACAAACGAATAAAAATCAAAATTACAGCTCCTCCGCCTTTTCCGGGTTCCCTGTTATTATTTCCCCAGTCATTTTCTATGATCACTTTGGCCTCTCTCTTCCTTTTTATGTTCTTAAAAAAACTCTTACTGCCCATTTTTGTATTATTTGCTGGGTTACCCTCAAAGTTTAATTTTCTCTCTCTTTATTATTTTTGGGTCATCTTTTGTTGGTTTTTCCAGCTTTCCCAATCCTCTAGTTTACCACTAACCTCTGCCGCATTGTATGCTTTTTCTTTCATTTTGATTCTTTTTGACACAATGGATACCCAGAGAAGATGCTGAAGAACTACAAACCCTTTGACTTTCAAGTGGGAATTGAAGCTGCTAGTTTTTCTCTCTGATACTTGGGAAAACTGCAACATGCTTATTATTCATGTTACAAAGCAGACGTTAGAAGGATGTTTCCTCATATAGGACAGTCTAGAATGACAGGTTATAGTTTTAGGTTAAGGGGTAGCAGATTTAAAACAGAGATGAGGAGAAATTGCTTCTCTCAAATCTTCATGAATCTGTGGAATTATTTATCCCAAAATGCTATGGATTCCAGACGATTGAGTAAATTTGAAAGAAGAGATAGACAGATGTTTAATTAATAATGGGTTGAAGGATTATGTAGAGAGCAGGCAAGCAAGTGGAGCTGAAGCCAAGATGAGATCGTATTAAATGGCGGAGGAGGCTCAAGGGGCTGAAATGCCTACTCCGGCTCCTAGTTCGATGTTCTTATGAGATCAGGTAATAATGTGATGTTAATGCATCCAATTAGTCCCTTGCCGCTCTCTAGTGAGATTCTCATTTTGCCATTAAAACCATAAGCATAAAATCAGACTTGTTTTTCAGACTTTTATCCCCTTTTTAGCCTTGGTTTTATTGTCTGGAAATTGTTATTTCCAGGAGATTACACATTGTAGGGCAGGACATAGACTTGGGTTAGGAGGGTTCTAATCATGATATATTAGGCATCATAGGTATGAAACAGGCTTGATAGACCAGCATGACTTTTCCAAAAATGTTCAAACATCTATGTCAAATATCTGTGATCCCTACACTCAGGCTGCAGACAGTGGCACTGTCCATTCTATTAAATCAAGGCTTATTTTCATAAGGAGATATCAGTAATGAACAGTTCTTGGAGCAATAAGGACCCAATATTAATTTTTGTTTCTAAATCCCTCAATTTTTCACCTTTTGTTCAACAAACCTGACAGTCATGCACTGTGGTGACAACAACTGTGTTCTCATCAACTGCTCCCATCGATACCATCATTGCATATTCCAGGTCAGCAAAGCCCTCGCCTTTTCCAATTCTCCAGCCTTTACAGTAAACACAATTTGAATATTAAAAAAAATTGCATTATGGACATGAGGTCAAAATGGCCAAAAGCAGAAAGAAAATTTTGCTATTTCTTTTAACAGGTCTAAAAACTCATCAGGGAGAACCTCCTTTATAATTTCATTTTCATATAAAAATCTACACAGTTTTATGAAAAAAAAATGCTGGTTATTTCCATATTGCTTTTATTGCATACTTCACAAAATTATTGACAAATTTCTTTTGATGTTCTGAGAAGATGCATTGTTTCATAAGGGGAAAATAAACTAAAAAGAGAATTCTAGCTTGTGTATGTCTTGAAGGCTCAAAGATGCATTTGGTACTCATGGAGTCATAGAGGTTTCAGCACAAAAACAGACCCTTTAGTCCAACTTGTCCATGTTGATCAGATATCATAAATAAATCTAGTCCCATTTGCCAGCATTTGGCCCATATCCCTCTAAACCCTTCCTACTCATATACCTATCCAGATGCCTTTTAAATGCTGTAATTTTACCAGCCTCCATCACTTCCTCTGGCAGCTCATTCCATACACACACCACCTTCTGCATGAAAAAGTTGCCCCTTAGGTCCCTTTTAAATCATTCCCCTTTCACCTTAAACCAATGCCCTCTAGTTGTGGACTGCCCTACCCTGGGGAAAAGACCTTGTCTATTTACCCTATCCATGCCCCTCCTAATTTTATAAACCTCTATAAGGTCACCCCTCAGCCTGCGACACTCCAGGGAAAATAGCCCCAGTCTATTCACCCTCTCCCTATAGCTCAACTCCACCACCACCCCCCGCCCTCGTTCTTTAAAAAAAATTATTTGAACATAATTTTGAGGTATGGCTCAACATTTTAAACCTCTATTGCTGCAATCAGGTATTTGAGTTTAAATATACATGTAAACACCAGGTGCTTTACGTATATACTCACACACCAGTTAGCTCTTTTGGGAGCTGGTACAGACATAATGGGCCAAATAGCTTCCTTCTATATTATAAATTTCTATGATTTCATATTTCAAATTTTAAGTAAGTCTTTTGGTCAATAACGTTGTCAGTCAATCGCTCTAGATAATAAAACGTGATTTTCAAAGGTCACACCATACTGTTTAAAATTAATCACCAAGACTAATGAGATTTTCCACATATTGCTTTCTGTACTTGTGCATAAAAATATTAAAACATTTTAAACATTTGTCCAGATGCAGTTAATATATGTAGTTAAAATAATTATTCATATGCTTAGCTTTTCTAAAATATTTCGTATTTCTGTGCTGAATACTTATGTAATTTGAATTCTTTGACTGTTTCTTGCCTCTTTTTAGAAAATCAAAATTGTTTCATTGACACTCAAACAAAGCACATAAAGGCTCTAACTCAGAAAGGGAACAGGTAGGACTTTGAACACTCAGATCGTCAAACTGAATTTCAGACTTCAAACCAACCTTCTGAAAGCATTTAGCTGCTTAAGAGAAGTCAGAAAAATAAGGTGTTGTGTAAATCAAGGGTATAGAAAGCTTAGATACCTGACATCACATGAAGGATTCAGATTTTAATTATTCATCCCATATTCAGTCAAAATGATACTGCCTGTACCCATGTTACATTTACCTATCATCCCTGTGCTCATTTACCTACATTGACTCCCAGTCTGACAACAGCTCAGTTTTAAAACATTGGTCCTCCTTTTCAAATCCCTTTGCGATCTCTGTAACCTCATCTTGTCCAACAATCCTGAGATCTCCCGTCTGGTCTCTTGCCTACCTCTAATATTAATTACTCCATCATTGACAGCCATGTGTTCAGCTGCATCAGGTCAAAGCTCTGGAATTCCCTCCCTAAACCTGTTTTAGTATGTCTTTATATGGCTCAGTGCTGAATTCTGTACAATAAGGCTCCTATGGAGTAACCTGGGATGAATATTAGTCTAATAGTGCAATATAAACAAAAATTGTTGTTAAGGTATCCTTGCAGCGCCAACAATGTCATATTTCCATTCATTAAAAATGTTACACTAGTAGGTAGTTATACTTTGGAGTTTACATTCTTAATGTTACCTTTGTCTGATACAGCCACAGATCCTACTACAACCAGGTCCACATGAATGTTTGCATCAAGTCCAATAGGTACGCTGAAATCTTTTACTCCCTGGAGTAGAAGAGATAAAAGTTTCATATCACACAAAGAATAGAGAGGTGTTTGCTGGCCTAGCATACAAATATAAAATGTACAATAGGCAATACATTAATCATGGGTAACTTTAATCTTCACGTAAACTGAGGAAGTCAAATTGGCAGAGGTAGCCAAAGAAGGACTCAGAATGTATTTAGGAAAATTTCCTTGAATAATATGTTGCAGTTCCAACCAGGGATCAAGATATGTTGGATCAGGTAATGTGTAATAACAAAATTTATGGAACCTGACTCAGGAGTAAAGGATCCCCTAGAAAACAGTGATCATAACATGATAGAATTTAAAATATGATGTGTAAGAAACAAATCTACTAAACTTAAGGGGAATTACAAAGGAATGAGGGCAGAGTTAGTTGGAGTGGACTGGGAAAAGTCCTTAGCAGAAAAAAAACACAATTGGGGAACAATGGCAGATGTTTAAGAAAATGGTTCATGACTCACAAGACAGATATCCCAGTGAGGAAGAAGCATACCAGGAAGGAAATAAGCTAACTATGGCAAACCAAAGAAGTTAAGGATAACATTACATTGAAAAAAAATGCAGCAATGATTAGTGGTAAGGCAGAGGAGTGAGAAAATTTCAAAAGCTGACAAAAAAATTACCAAAAATAATAAAACAGAAAAGAAACTTTGAGGGTAACCTACTTAGTAATATCAAGACAGCCATCAATGGCTACTTTAAACATATAAAAAGGAAGAGATATGCCAAAGTGAACATAAGCCCCTTAGAAATTGAAACCAAAAGAACAGAAACAAAGTTGCTGGAAAAGCTCAGCAGGTCTGGCAGCATCTGTGAAGAAATAAATCAGAATTAATGTTTCGGGTCCGGTGACCCTTCCTCAGAACAGTTTCTGCCCCTTAGAAATTGACGCTGGGGTAATAATAATGGGCTACTAGAAAAAAGCAGAAAAGATTGAATAAATGGCATTAGTCTTCACAGTGGATGACAAAGCATTCAAAAATACCAAATAAGAGATGGAAAATGAGGGAAAATAAATAAATATAATTAACTATCACTGGAGAAAATATTGGAAAACTAATGGAGATCATGACTAATAAGTCTCAGGGATCTGATGGAGTGCATCTTAGGATGCGAGAGATACTGGATGCACTGGTAGTAATCTCCAAAGAATCCTTAGTTTCTGGAAAAGTCCCAAAGGATTGGAAAACTGCCAAAGAGCACATATTCCGAAAGAGAAGGAGACTAAAAGCAGGTAATTGTTGTTTAACATCTGTTATTGCAAAGATGTTAAAGTATAAAATGAACAAGACCATCCATTTTTTCCATCTTGTACTCATCAGGATATGTCCCACGAATACAAATTCAAGGGGAAAACTAATCTCTATTATGTATGAGAGGACGGTGATGTTTAGTTAGCAGTGAACTCTCATTGGTAGAGGGGTTGCCCTAGCGAATGCACCTATTAATGTAGTTTGACATGAAATAGTCTGGTTTTGGTAAATTTTAAACCAGGCAGATTGACTCTGATTTGTCAGAGAGATGTCTGGCCTAACAGACAAAGCAGCGAATGGCTGTCATTTATTTTGTGGAGTTGGCACTGAACATTATGGAAGTCCCTAAGGCAGTCACTGCTGTTGTGAAATATGACCAGCCTATCTTAGATTACCCTGGAAGTTTGAGCAACAGGCAAAGCTTGCTGCTTCAAGCTACTATCATACAATAGCAACACAAGTGGTGTTCACCCACTAATAGGATGCTGGCATCAAGCCAAAAAAAAAAATCTACGCTTCACACAAATGAGTAATTGGCATTTGAATTTAATGTCAATGTGATGCTAGATATGTAGGTCACAGACTCCAAAGACTGGTAGATTATATCAAACAACATGCCCCTTTGGCTGTCACAATAACCAAAGTAATGATCAGACCCAATGAGTCCTGGATTGTGAAACTCACAACTGTGTCTAACATTAGGTGTGAATCTGCAACTGGACAACATTTGCCGGATAATCCTGAATGTGTAAGGAATTACACTGACAACCAATTAACACCTTCCACCCCAACCTTAAGTTTACCTGGTCCATCTCTAACACCTCTCTCCCCTTCCTGGACCTCTCTATCTCCATATCGGGCAACCACCTAGGAACCGATATTCACTTCAAGCCCACCGACTCCCACAGCTACCTAGAATACTCCTCCTCCCACCCACCTTCCTGCAAAAATGCTATCCCCTATTCCCAATTCCTTCGCCTCCGCCGCATCTGCTCCCAGGATGAGGCATTCCACTCCCGTACATCTCAGTTGTCCTCGTTTTTCAAGGACCGTAACTTCCCCTCCTCGGTGGTCGAGAACGCCCTCAACCGTGTCTCCCACATCTCCCGCACCTCATCCCTCACACCCCGTCCACGCAATAA